TGTGGACTGCACCCGTTTGACGAAAGTGAAACTGCATTTTTTCTGTATCAAGGTACAGCAAACATAATTTACTGAATTCTTTTTAGTCTTCTCGCTGGTGCTCTATAGAAGATTCAGTAGCTGCTTCTGCACTTTCCTTCCACATTTTAATCTGAGAAACAGTTTGTGATTCATTTGAGAAAGGTCAAGGGTTAAATGGACTGAGTGTCTCATTACTTCAATGAAGAACTGTGTCAAAATGCTTCTTAAATGTGCTAAATTCAGTAACTTCTGGTGATTTTGATGCTTCAATGTACAAGTCGTTAAAAATGAGTGTTGAATTACTTCCTCCAACTTGTTGACGGCATGCAGACCAGAGCAATGCATGGCCAATTCCTTGCTGCAGGGCGACAAACATGGCACTGACAAATCTGGTATTGCTGGCCGTAGTATCAAAAGTCATACTTACTATTGCACAGTTCCATGACTGCAACCACTGCATTGTAGCATTAGTGATAATATCTCCAGAACGTTGATCTGTTCCTGGTTGATAACCAGATACGCCAAGAATTTTAAGATTGGGGTTGTTGCCAACCATAAATATTTCCTGTAAGTCATGTGTTGCCTGGCTCTTCATCAGTTTAGAGTCACAGTGCAGGGAAGTACAGGAGAGTGGTGGCTTTAAACGGCTCATTAGGGATTATATTAAAAAGCCTATATATGTGGAATTTTAGTGTATATGATGGATGTAAAAGTCCATACATATCCGGTAAAAAACGACATATATCTATCATTTTGTCCGACCAATATTTTGTGTGCATCTATTTTATAATTATTTTAAATGTTCCAAAATTATTTATATATTTAGTATAAACTTCAAAATAAATTTCATTTTTTGAACTTTTTATTTTTTATACAAAACAGAAAATGAAGCTACTTTAATAAAATTTGTCACAATTTATTTTTTAAAAGACGCCTGGGCATTATATTTTTCTTGAATTAAGCAGCCCGGTTTTTATCATTTATAAAAACGTTGCAATTAACAATCATTTTAAGTTTTAATTTCAGTATTTATTTTATTTTTGTCTGATGGTTTTTATAAATTTCAAAAGAATATTTGAACTTTTAAAACCCTTTTTAAATTTATTTTATAACGTTTTTAACATACTAGTATTTTTAATGCTTATAGAAACCAGTATTTTTTACAACAGTATTAAATTTGAGTTATGTTATGCAACATTTGCTTTCGTGCTAAAGTTTTTCGATAATAAAAGTGTTTATAAAAGTAATCGTAGAAAAAATTTAAAAAGACTTGTCAAAATACATTATATATTTTTTAGAATATTATACGAAATGACTTTTGTATATATATGTCATACATAATTTATATAAACATGTCATACTTTATAATATGTCATACACAATTTATAAAAATATGTCATTCTTTTATATAAATATGTCATGTTTTATATAAATAAGTCATTTTATATAAATATGTCATACTTTTATATAATTACGTCATATGTCAAAAGTATTTTCGTATAATGTTCTATGATAATTTGGTAAAATGGGATTGCTGTAAACAATCATTAAAATTAGTTCGTTACTTTATTTAATAAAGTAATTATGTTACTTATACTAATAAGTAAATATAACTATTACTAAACATTATTATTTATGTATTTAACATATTTAGAATAATTTACAAACCATTTCGCATAGTATAGTTATTTTAAAAAAACGTAATATGTATACATATTTTCCTTTTCCAATTTTAGTTTTTTGAGCTTAGACTTATTAGGTTGAAGTTTTATAATACAAACCAACAAGTTGAGGTTTGTAATACTTCTAAACTAAAAACGGTAACACTCCGTTACAGTGACCAGTGAAGTTATTGTAACCAAGTTATTGTAAACAACTTTGCCGCAAAGTTATTGTAACCAAGTACAATGTTTATTTTATTGATTGAAGAATAGCCATTAACACAAGTTTAAAAATCAAAGATTTTAGTTTTATTATGTAATGTTGTTTATTTTATTATAAAGTAAGTTGAATTAAATTATATATAAAAAAAAAATTAAAGAAAAAAAAAAGTTTCTTGAAAAAATAAGAAATAGTTTTTATAGATAGTTACGCTTATTTAGCAGTTAATTAATCAAAAATTTCATATTTTTCTAAAAATGTTATTTAGTTGTTTTTTCATTTTAAAAATAACTTGATTTTTTTTAGATTATGAAAAAAAGTGGTGGAACCCATGACTTCCAAACTTTAGAAGCAATTACTTTATTCACTATACGCCTAGAACTGTCTGCTGTGGCATATGATACAGCAATTTGGATAGCATCACCTCCTGATTCTTCAATAATGGCCTCAGTGAGTACAGAATGTTGTGCAGGAGAAATTTTCATTCTTGTTATCAAAGTCGCAATTCTTGGAGGTTTGAGAAGTTTATAAGGTATACCAGCCGTTCCAGTTTGAGTGGTTCGATGGCGCATTTTTACCAGTTTCTTTTTAGAAGTCTTGAAAAGACTATTGATATCACATTTACTTTCATCACTACTTTCCTCGCTGCTGTTGCTAGAGAGTTCTACTGCACAAATAGCAGATACTGTAGCAGCAGCAATAGTACCTTTTATTACCCGTAGCCTCCTTTCTTCTTGCTTTTGCAGTCGTGCCTTTTTGCGCTGTAACTGTAACGCCAATTTTTTGATATGGGAGCAGAATGATGCTGTGCAGTCTGTCTTCATGGCCTCTAAAAACTTTACGTCTTCGTCATTATTCATGAATTTTTCAGCATTTTTCGCTCACAGTGGAAATGTCAAACTGAGTTCTTCTGACATTTGTTCAATCTTGGCAAATGCTGACAATGATGAACGACGATCTAGAGGAAGTTCATAAAGCTTTGCATTTTATTCAAACAGTGCAATGATTTTTTCACTGGCCTCCTTTTCTGCTATTATTGGAATATTTGCTTTCTTGAAGCAAGGAGTGACCTGCTTTAACACAAATTTTGATTAGTCACGTTTTGATTATATTATAGACAGGCCAGCTTGTCTATAAAGGTCTTTTGGTTATTTGGTCTTTTAGTATCTTGTTTTGGTTATTTACTTATTTTCTTTATTTTCACTATTTGGATCAGGCTGCCGTTTTGATGCCGATATCGATTAATCGGATTTTAGCTAAATCTGGTAGGTACCGTTTTCGGAATCAAGATTCCATTATGCCGCTGGCAAGATAATCACAACGTCTATATATATATATATATATATATATATATATATATATATATATATATATATATATATATATATATATATATATATATATATATATATATATATATATATATATATTAGTGCCGGTTAAGTCTACACTTGGTACGAAAAATTGCTTGATAAAGGATACGCATATTTTAAGGCGACAAAACTACGTCGCCTTAAATTTTGCTGTGTAAATACATAAAAACGGAAAAGTTATTTACATAACTTTTCCGTTTTTTTCATGCTTTGAAAAAAACTGCAAATGTGAAACCTAGTTACCATGTACTTAAAGTATTCATAGTTGTTTTTATAGTTACATTTTGAATGGGAAAACAAGGCACTATGTTTTTGAACCGTATATCTCAGAAAATGAAAAAAATAGCCATTAAGGCAACGTTTATGTTTATTATAATATCCGAGCACACAGATCGTATGTTTTTAATTTTTTTTTGAAAACTAAATGGTTGCCTCAAGTAAAATTACTGTCTTTAAGAAAAAAGTTTATCGATGAAGAATCAATAATATATTTTAAATATATAATTTGCTGTGCACATATACACGTTATAAACTATCCTTAAAAGTAATACCGTGTGAGTAAAGTTATGACAGTAAAAAAGTCGCCTTTATAGCACTTACATTTATAATGTTATATTTACCATAACTATTAGCGTTGGTAACTTATATGCTAGTATTATTATATGATATAGCATAGCCTAACCTGCATCTATTAATAATCTACACTATGTAATAAATAATTTATAATAAAAGTATTGTTTATTGTTAATTTAAGAATAATAATAAAATGATGTAAAAAAATAATAGAAACAAATAATAATAAACAAAGAGGCTTTTATTCTTTTACGGTCTCAATAATCCTAGTAACGATTTAGATTTTCAAAAAAAAAGAAGGATTTATGCATTATATATGTATGATCATACATGTATAATGCATAAGTCCTTTTTTGTTTTTTGAACTCATATGAGTTATATAATATATAATTTATACATGTATAATACATGAATCATGTATATATGTACATATATGATTAATCATGTCATGATTAAACATATATTGTTTAATCGTGCATTTAAAAGCATGTTTTATAAATGCAAGTGTTATATATGTGTGCTATATTTGCATGAATTATATATGCATGATTTTTTTTTTTTGTGTTTAGTTCCTTTTTCTTGCAGTTTTTTCTGAATTTCTTTCTGCTTTTTCATTTAATGTATGCATCTTTTTTGTTTATGATAGAAAAAAGTATGACAAAAAGTATTAGTCTTTATGAAGTTTTTGAGTTGCCATTAAACTTTAGTGATAAAATTGGAGAAGGATCTTCTGCAAATATTTTAAGTTGCCTTTAAGAAATAAGCAAACAGCAATAAAAGTGATAAAGACACAGTTTTCGCAACGCAAAATTGTTTCTATTGCAACTAAACTCAGGCAGTTAAAACACAAAACATAGTAAAGTTTAAAGGCTATTCCATAAGACCAACTGCCCTTATATTTGAGTTATGCTGTTTAAATATTTCCAATAATCAAATATCAAATTTGTCCCAACTAATTTCTCATTTAAATGAAGAAGACAATTTTTCTTTTTCCCAGAGATTGAATTTTATCCATCAGTCGTCAAATGGTATTATGTACTTACATGAATATGGGATTATTCATAGAGACATTAAACCTTCTAATCTACTTGTTACTGGTACTTCAAAAGATATAATAATTAAAGTTAGTGATTTAGATTATTTTGTAGACATTAAAGAAACAATAGTTTTGACTATGACAAAACAAAATATAAATGACATGACTTTAGCTTATACATCTCCTGAAAATATTAAATATGAAGTTGAAGCTCCAAATAAAAAATCTGATATCTATGCACTTGCAATCACTGCATTTGAAATAATTAGTAATTTTTCATCAGCTTGGCATGGTATTATTCCTGTTCTAAAAGATATTTTTTTAATGAATGCTGTAGTATCTGGTAAACGACCAAATGTTAATCACCTGTTAACACTTTATGGTAAAGAAAATATAAATGTTCATAAATTTATAAGTTTCATTCAACAAGGTTGGGGAGGTAATCCTTCTTTGCGACCAACTATTTCTGTGGTATGTGTTTAGCCTTTTAATAATAGTTATAAAAATTTTATTAATAGTTATGAAATTTAAGTTAAAAAATATTGGTTACTGTTTATTGTGATTTAGTGGACGGAGACATTAACCCAGATAATGAATTTTGTAATAGTAAGATTTTTTCAGTTATTTTAAAGTTTACATTATATAGATATTTTTTTATTATTGAAAATCAAATAAACATGCAAGGTTTTATTAATATTATTTTATTATCAAAAGAGCATAAATATCTAGGGTTGTTTAATTATATAATGACTGTATGACTCTGCAAAATGAGTGCTTGTTTTTTATGCTATTATTTAAAATATTTGTATTTCATAGGATATCACGAGTGACAACTGCTTTGAAACTGAAGAAGATACAGAAGTATTTATATGTTACTTTTATACTTTTTTTTTGTCTTTTTTATTTTATTATATTTTTAAAAAATATTTTAACAGCTGCTTGCAAAGTATTTTTTCTTTTATGATAGTCAACAGTTTTTAGTTATGTTGGAGATTTTAATGGTCATAGATCAGTTTTAAACTTGTCTTTTGAGTAAGTTTATTTTTCATATACCACAAATATATTCAAATGTTTTTTATTTTTTAACAAATGTTTACATTTTATTTTAAGCCAATTTTGTTCACTTGAAATGTATCCAGCTTTATCTGAAACTTTTAGTCAATTATATAAAACTTCTTTAGCTTGTAGTAAAACTGTAAGTTTGTTTTATTTTCTGTTTGCATATTATTTAACTTTAGCTTTTATAATTGCTTTTTTATATCTGGTGAATGCATTTAATTTTTTTTAAGAGCGTTAATTTTGTTTTTTATGTTAGTATTTGAAATATTTATATTTCACAGGATATCACAAGTGATAACTGCTTTGGAACTGAAGAAGATACAGAAGTATGTATAAGTTACTTTTATACTTTTTTTTTTTCTCTTTTTTTTTATTATGTTTGTTAAAAAATATTTTAATAGCTGCTTTTAAAGTATTTTTTCTTTTATAATAGTCAACAGTTTTTAGTTTTGTTGGAGATTTTAATGGTCATAGATCAGTTTTAGACTTGTCTTTTGAGTAAGTTTATTTTTCCTATATCACAGATATATTCAAACATTTTTTATTTTTTTAACAAATGTTTACTTTTTATTTTAAGCCCTTGAAATATATCCAGCTTTATCTGAAACTTTCCGTCAATTATACAAAACTTCTTCAGTTTGTAGTGAAACTGTATGTTTGTTATATTTTCTGTTTGCATATTATTTAACTTTAGCTTTTATAATTGTTTTTTTATATCTTGTGAATGCATTTAATTTTTTTTAAGAGTGTTGATTTTGTGATAAATAAAGGTCTACCGAATCAGGTAAAACTATTTTGTTTTCTTACATATAATGTTAAAATTTGAAATTTAGAATTTTAAAAATTTATCCATTTATTAAATGATCTAAAAAATATATATATATTTATAAATCTGATAAAACTAACTCAATAATAAAAACAGCTAAACAAAATTAAATATGTTTCAAGATTTATTTATCATTCGACATTTTTATTTTTAATAAATCTTATCAGTCTGTAAATATTGTTGTACATTAAAAATGTTTGTGTTAAAAACCTGAACTTATGTTTTTGTTTTGATTTGTTTTGTTGTTGTAGTGCAGTATTCAGATGTAAGTAATAGTAATATTTATTGCTGTAACAATTACATATTTGTTTAAATATAAATATTTAAAAATAAAATAAATTGTGGAACGCGATGCAAGCATCGGATTATAGACAGCCCACACAAATTAAAAAAACACAAGTTATGAAAAATGTTTATCTATTCGCGCTTTGAAAACATTCAACGATGTTGCTTCAATGATTTCATTTGGTAACAAATTCCAATTTTTACAAACTCGATTGGTAAAAAAATTATATCTCGGTAAACATGATGGTACGTATTCTCTTTCTAGCCTGTATTTATTGCCCCTTACAGAAAAAGCCGGGCCTGAACTAGTCACGGATGATGCCGGTTTTGGATTTTTGTACCAATTTATTTGGTCTATATTTTGCTTGAATCTGTATTGTTGTATAAGATCTCCTCTAGCTCGTCTTTTCTCTAATGTTGTTAAACCCATTGCTTTTAGTCTTTTTTCATATGAAATCTTTTTAAGTTGTGGAACTAACGTCGTTGCTCTTCTTTGCACTTTCTCTAACTCATCAATATCCCGTTGTAAATAAGGCTGCCATGCAGGTATAGCGAATTCAAGAAGCGGTCTCACAAATGTCGTATATAGTGATTTCACCATTTCCACATCGAAGTATGTAAACGTACGTTTAATTAGATCCAAAGTTCTTTGTGCTTTTGCTGTCGCTGAAGTCACTTGATAAAAGTGACTTCAGCGACATTTTTAGGAGTGATTATTTCATCCGACCATTTAAGGTCGGATGAAATAATCACTCCTAAATCTCTTTCACTTACTGTTGTTTTTAGTTTATACTCTTTGCCGTCGTGGTTCATACAATAACTCATACGTGGATTTTTTTTACCTAAATGCATCACCTTGCACTTTTCGATGTTCAACTTTGTCAACCAGATATCCGTCCATTTTACAAATTCGTTAATGTCATTCTGCAAAGACTCATGATCTTCAACATTTTTTATAACTTTGATAAGTTTACTGTCTGCATATAATTTGCAATTGGAATTAATAACTGATGGTAGATCATTTACGAATATCAAGAATAACAAAGGACCAAGCACAGAGCCTTGAGGCACACCACTAAAAATCTCAAGCCATGGAGACACGTCTACACCCATCACAACTCTTTGCCTTCTTTCTTTTAAAAAAGACGATATCCAGTCATTTATTACACCCTTGATACCATATGCTTCACACTTTTTCAACAGTCTTTTATGTGGAACCTTATCAAAGGCTTTGGCAAAATCCATATAAATCATATCTACCGCTAAACTGTCACTCATGCTTGCTGTTAAAATGTCTAATGTTTCTAGCAAATTTGTTACACAGGCTTTATTTTTTACGAAGCCATGTTGATTTTTTGATAGCAATTTATTTTCCATCAGATGAGTCATTATTGCTTCTTTTATGAATGCTTCCATAACTTTGCCTGGTACAGATGTTAATTGTAAAAGATGTGTTGTGAAATGATAAGAATTAAGGTAATCTTTTTAGATAGATGTCAAAAATGACTCTGCACTTTGTCTTGACTCAGATTTTAGTATAATAGAGACAAATATTAGTTTCAACAATCAAACCAATCAAGAAATTTTCACTAGTTTAGAAGCTGTAAGTAATATATTTTACTTTTATTCTATTTAACCTGATTTTTTTTTACCAATCCCAGTATTTGTTTTTCGAATACAAAACAAAAAAAGAAAAAGAAACCCTACAGATTTTGTATTTTTTGTAAAAAGTACTCGTCTTATTTAAAACGCCACATAAAAACAAAGCATAAAAATGAACCTGATGTTTTTAAAGCATTGTCTTTGCCTAAGGAGGAACAACGATTTGTTTTTCAAAAGCTAAAAAGACAAGGTATTTTTGAAATTAACCAGATAAAGGCTAGAAAAAAGAATCCACAATATGAAAGTGAACGCTCAGCTAAAGTTGAAAGTGGTATAAGTTATTGCAGCAAATGCTTAATGTTTGCCTCTAGAAGATATTGGCATAGCCATGTCAAAAGATGTCAAAAAAATTCTTGCCAAACAATTATTCCTATACCTGTAAGAGTCTTACAGGTTCCAGACAATGTAAATATTAGTGAAGCTTTTCGCACAAAAATTTTGGCAACATTTAAAACTGATAACATAGGACAGATTTGTTGCTCAGACCCTATGATATTGAGTATTTAAAGTATGTTTTTTAATAAAGAAAAGCGTAAGTTTGGAAAAGCTATCGCTGTCAGAAACTCAGTACGTACTGATATGAGACGATTGGCGAACTTGTATGTTATATTTCTGCAACAAAAATAAGTAACTATAACTTTTAAAAATCTTCACGATATGTTCACTCGTGTTAATTTTTATGCCTTGAGAGAGGCAATAGAGATATATACTACATCCGATACTTCTACTTTAAAAGCAGGATTAAAGCAAAATTTATTTTATATACTTAAACGCTCAGCAAAAGTATTGAAAGGCTTATTTCTGGCTCAAGGTCAAGATATTCTTTCCAATGAAATTGATAAATTTGTAAGCATTCTTGAAATGTGGGAAGACTACATATTCGGTGATGCTACCTATGAACTGAACAGAAATAAAAATATAAAATTGCGAAAACCATCACAGTTACATGATATAGAAGATATATATGTGTTTAGACAGCATACTTTAAAAAGAATAAAAGACCTTACAGACGAGTCTTATGATTTTTTTAGTATATCAAGTTTTGTTGATCTGCGAGACTAAGCATGTGCAAGATTGACTTTGTTAAATGGGCGAAGAGGTTTGGTTTTGAACCTTTTTTGTAAAAATTGTTTCAAACTTTTTATGTTTTAGACTCACTTTCCATTGTCACTGTCCATTAAAGTTATAGTTTTAATTTGAATGTTCTATAAAAACTAATCTAATTTATTTTTTAGGAAGAGAGCCAGCTCGATTGCAAATTGATGAGTACAATGATGCAGTTAATGATTCATGGATTGACAAACAAAGACTTTCTGAACTTGATGAAATGGATCAAAGATTAGTAAAACATCTCAAAATAACTTTAGTGTTGAAAAGGCAATAACCATTTGGTCCCAATTCTTATTCCACCAGATACTATGCCAGCGTTAATAAAACTGGCTGATCCTAATGTTCGTAGTTCTGTTAATGTTTTAAAGAGTAACACTTTTTTATTTGCTGGGACAAAATTATCTGAAGGGCACACTTCAGGATGGCATGCAGTTCATAATATTATAAATAATCTTAAGTTAAAGAAAATATAAAAGCAACTTTGAACCGTCATCGTGTTAATACTCTTTTCTCAGCTCTTGATTTGCCAAAAAAAGACAGGGAGTTGTTTTACAAACACACGGGTCATTCAGCTGCTGTCAATGAAGGCACTTATCAAGTTCCTCCTGCCTTAATGGAAATTGTTATAGTTGGAAAACATCTTCTAAACTTTGATTTGTGTAAGTAAAGTTCAAATTTTTCAATATTGTGGAATGTTTATATCGGTTTCAAAAGTTTTTTTTAGTAAAGGTTTAAAGTATGAGTTTCTATTTTTAACTGAATTTAGCAAAAACAGTTGCTAAAAACCAAACAAAAAAAAAGAAAGTGGCGTTGGATTGTCGAATAAAACAGTTCGAACTAAACTAACAAATGAACGTGTTAAAGTAAGACGACTTACTCAAAAACATCTAAATGAATTGAATTTGCAACAGTAGAATTTCATTAAATCAAATATAATTAACTGTAAAAACTTATTTTACTGAGGAGATTTTTTTATAAACAAATATTTTTTTATACAACCACCTTGCTACTGGTTGTAGTTAAGGTAGTTATAAAATATTATAGCGTATGTATGATATTTTTTTGACTATTACATATTTCTTTTAAATGATCAGGTCTGCGAATTATAAAAGCCGAAAAAAATTAATATGATAAATTTTGCGGTATCATAAAATAAAATATATTTGTTGCGAAAAAAACTAGACCACAAATTCTATTTTTTTTTTTTTTTAATATTCTTAAAACCCCAATCGCTTGGCCAAATTTAAATAAGATTTTAAATAAATAGGTAAAATAAACATATTTAATAATATGGTCTGCTCTGATTGCTTATTGGCGCTTTATCTTAATTAAAAGCTCTCCCTTGGTCGGAATTCTAGTATTTTTTGTAAAAATCGATAGAAATATTGTACTTTGACAACTTTATATAGCTAATATTCGTCAAAACCGATTAGAATTAAGATCTATAGTAATTTGAAGAATTTTTTAAAAAGATTTTAACTCATTTCATGTTAACCTTGATGAACGGAATTGATTTAAAGACTCCAAAATGGTGTTCTTTAGTTTCACTATTATGGGTAGTAAAAAGGTTTTGAAATTATATAAAAAAGAGAAATCTTCAAATATTGAAAGAACCTGAAGCAAAAATTATTGTAACATTTAAGGCCTCTGTGAGGACACAATATGCTTATAAAATCACGCCAGTTTTAAATAAAAGAATTCGAATAATTTGATAATCACCTTAGCTACACTGAATACTCATAAATTAAAGTTTAAAGATATTTTAATACTTAAACGTGTTTAAATTTTGTTCTTTTTTGCTTCTTAAAAAAGGCATAAACGAGACTTGGCTAAATCAACACGGCTTCCCCATTCCTAATAATGAACAAATAAATGTTTAAAAAACAGCGACAAAAAAAATAATGCACTCAAAGTTGAAGCCTTTGAAATAAAACAAAATACAATAAAATATTGATTATATAAACTATGGCAAATCTAAAAACGATCGATTATTAATTTTAGCATTATTTATAATTTTTTTCCTTTTTAGCAATAAGTTCATAAAGGTGACATGGGGATTCAATTAAAGAAATTAACAAAAAAAAAAAAAAATAAAAATAAAAGGCGACATGTCGCCTTTAATTTGTATTATTTAATACAAATTCAAGGCAACGTGTCGCCTTTAATTTCTATTGATTAATACAAATTAAATTCAACATGTCGCCTTTAATTTTTTTTTCGTTGCCAAAACTATCAGCTATTTTGGCATATGCCAGAAATTTAGTCAACTATTTTAGCATGTTTTTAAGTATGTTTGAACATAATCTATTTAAACAATTTTTGTATAAATAGATTGTGCAAGTTTAGTGTTCTAACATGTTTAAAGCAGGCCAAAACAGTTGATTTTTTTTTTCAAAATAGTTAATACATAATTTTTTTTTTTAATAGTTGGCAATTTTAACAGAAACAATAATTGTCGCCTTTATAACCATTTTAACGGTAAAAAACTAAAGGCGACAGCTGTCTTTCAACTCAAAAAATAAAGGCGACAGTTCAAATTTGTTTTAATATTTTAGTCCTCTAGCATGCTTAAAATCATAATCAAAAATAATGCATACATTATATACAATATGCTTGTGTTAAATATGTGATTTAAAATCAAAACTGAAATTTTTTGTAAGTCGCCCTTACACAGCATTTTACACAGCGTCGACCTTATGCGGCATCTAGCAGTATATATATATATATATATATATATATATATATATATATATATATATATATATATATATATATATATATATATATATATATATATATATATATATATATATATATATATATATATATATATATATATATATATATATATATATATATATATATATATATATATATATATACAGTGAGAATAGAATTTAATCGTACAAAGTAACTTTTCAATAAAATAAACACCTTTGAATAAAACGTTGTATCATGCACTCATTATAAACATTTTTTTTTCTCCAATTTTTTATTTGTTAAAAGACCTTTAAAAAAAATGTAAAATTTTTATTTAAGTATTTAAATTTCCTGATTAGGAACTTTAAAATGAAGAAAGGAATAAAAACACATGCACATAAATTAGTTGTACAAAAAAAGCGATATAGGTTAAAGCTAAGAAAAAATACTAGTTTATTAAAGTAACTGAGAAACAGTTTCAAGATTTTATATTTTAATAATATACTTTAATATTTAGTTGGTCCTCCTTTAATTACATCTAACAAGCGTTTTGGCATTGATTCTACTAGACACTGAATTTAACTATTGTCGATGTTAGACCATGATTTAACAACAGCTTTCTTTAAATCTTCGTTTTTTATAAATAATCTAGTACCTAATTTTTTATCTAATATAGTCCATAAATGCTCTATTAGAATCAAATTAGGGCTTTGCAAAGACCATTCTAAAACGTTTATGCCATTTTCATCGAGAAAGCTTTTAGTTTTTTCAGCAGTGTGTTTTGGATTATTGTCTTGTTGAAACAAATATTTCCCAACCTAAGCTTTTTAGCAAAAGATTTTAAACTTTGTTTTGATATATTTTTGTACAAATCAGCATTCATTGTTTCATTAATAAACTCAAGTTTACCAACACCATTCCATGCCATACAACCCCATAACATCACACTTCCACCGCCATGTTTGACTGTTCCTCGCGTGCAACTTAAATCAAAAGCTGCACCCGTCTTTCCCCAAACTCTTTGTGCACCATCAGATTTTTTTAAGTTAAACTTGGATTCATCAGACCAAAGAGCTTTTTTCAAAAGTGATACATACATTAAATAATACTTTTTTGCAAAGTTCATTCATCTCTTCATATGATTTTTTTTTTTAATGGTTTTTTACGAGCTATACATCTACTGAATCCTGCTTTATGAATGCAGTTTCTACTTAATGTAGAAACTGCATTCATAAAGCAGGATTCAGTGGATTTAACAGTAAACACAATCTCACGATTGTGTTTCCTGTTAAATGCTTCAAATAATTTGCTATATTTTTTGCAGTTTTAAACCGATTTTTAAATCGTCTCTTTAGAGGGCAAAAACGGAAGACAAGTTCAAGAGACGATTTTTAAATCGTCTCTTGAACTTGTCTTCCGTTTTTGCCCTCATCCAGTATGAATTTCAAATGTTTCATATTGTTGGTATTTCTTTACAATGACTTCTACTGTTGTAAATGGAATATTTAAAAGTTCTTCAACTTTTCTATAAGTATTTATTTGTTTAACCAAGTCTATAATAAGTTTTCGTTGAGTAGTGTTTAAATATTTACCTTTGGGTGCCATATCGTACAATAAACAGAGTTTTTAATGTCTTTTTCTTCCAAAGTTTTATTTATTGCTAAAAATAATGTTCTAAAAATACAAAATCAAAGATAAAATTTATATTTTATAAATTAAAAAAAATTATAAACATTCATTTTCATAACAATTTACCAATAAAACAGTTTTGTACAATTAATTTATGTGCATGCAAATTAATACCTGTTTGAGCAAAAAATCAAAAATTATATAGTAAACACATTTTCTTGTATGTTTACTAAAAAATTTTAAATAAGTAATAATCATACTAAATTAAAAAAAAATGTTTCAATTATTATCAATATTATTATAGTTAAAAACAAGTTTTAGCAAAATAAAATGGAAAAATTAATTTGTACGAATTAATTCTGTTGTCACTGTGTGTATAAATAAATATATATATATATATATATATATATATATATATATATATATATATATATATATATATATATATATATATATATATATATATATATATATATATATATATATATATATATATATATATATATATATATATATATATATATATATATATATATATATATATATATATATATATATATATATATATATATATATATATATATATATATAATAGCTTTCATAAAATAATACATACCTTGCTATATTTTTTTCATTAACTATAAACTTTATATTGTCCTTATATGCATCAAAGTCTTCTTTAGATCCACGAACATCAAACTCTTTGCAATTTTTACTTATTGTTAAACAAAAACCTGTACGTGTGCACAGTTGATCATCTTTATTGCAAACATCAACTTTGATTTCTTCTACTATGTTTTCTGACCAATCATTTATTACATTTTCAATAGTTCCCTTTTGTTTTAAAATTTCTCTATCATTGCAGTCTAAAACTAAAATTACTAAATGTGAATTTGACCTTGCCATGGCATCTACGAGAACATGTCGTAAAAAAATTTCGTCTAGTCTCACAACCACAACTACAGATTCAGATTCCGCTCCAGAAAAACCTTTACTGTCTGTTACAAGAATATCAAATTCATTAAACACATCCTGTATAACTTTAACTTTTTCTGCGAATGTTGGAGTATTTTTTTGTAAATATGGTGCATAAGTTACTGCTTTAAATTTTTCAATAGCATCTATAATCTCTATTGCATATGCAACAGATTGAACTTCTTCCATGTTATTGCATATAACTACAGTTTTTCTTAGTTTTTCAATAAAAAGATGCTGTAACACAACAGACAAAATCTTCACAGAATGCATATCTGTAATGTCATGAAAAGGAAAACGTATTACCATGGGTTTTTCTCCTTTAATTGAGTGTCCAATGGTGCCTGGTTTGAATAAATAACTTGTTTCCATAATGCACTTTGGAATTACACCATTAGTTTGAACTGATACCTGCTTTGACATTTGATCGATATCATATTCATAATAACCACTTCCAGTTATATCGCTGGTACTTTCTACTTTTGTATTTGACAAGTAATTCTGATCACTATCATGAGAGTTATGAACAGATTTCTTATCATTTGTTTTTTCTAAGTCACTTAATTTCTCACCAACTGAGTGATCATCATTTAACTTTGATTTAATAGTGGGTTCATCGTTTGATTCTGTAGAGCTATGTTGAGTCTGTTTTATTTGTGAATGTTTCTTTTCAAATAAATCTTTTTTATTCATTTGTGATTTTTTATTTATTTTTGAATTTGGAAAATTACAAACAGTTTTTGATTCACTTATTGAATTTTCAGAAGAATCTATTAATAATTTATTACACATGGTTACTCTCATGGATTTCTTGAGATCAAAGACCTCCATGCCTAGCATTTCTTTATTAAAATAATTCTTTTGTATTACCTGTTTTTCTTTATTTCTAATCAATTCACGATATTTTTCAACGCTTTCAGGTATAAAAACAACTAACGATTCTTTCAATGAAGATAAAAATAATTTTTTCAGCTGTATTGTATCTTCTTCATTGACATAGTCAGAAGAGAGTTCTTCCAATATAAAATATACTTTATTAGTGTTGTTGACAACCAAATGCTCTAACAATACTGGAATAGAAATGTTTGTTTTTTTTAAAAATTTTTTTTTGGGTATTTTTTCCCATAACTCATGTAAATTATCACAAACAACAGTAACATTTGCAGATTTCTCAATTTTATCAACAAACTTTTTCATTTCATATTCAAACAAAGAGAAATGGTTACAACATATATAATACAAAGTTAAATGATTTTCAGACGTTTCTGATAAACATTTTTTAACAATTTCCTGTCCAACAACAGATTTTCCTGAACCGTATCCTCCTGTGATAATTTTTTTAAGTTCTTTTCTGTATATAGCATTCCATTGTTCATAGTTAAGAATCAATGTTTTGATTTGTTTTTGGGTTTCATTATGTATTGTGGGAACAATGAATTTATCGTCAGTAGCCATTATTATCATAGTTAATCCAATTAGTTTTTTAAAGAATGCTAATTTATTACTTTTATCTTTAATTTTGTTACAGCAATAACCAACAACTAATCTCCACCATTGGTTAAAATTGTTATCTTCCATATCGTCCTTACATAAAAATAAAAATTGTATAAATTTTTGTTCCTGATTTTTTTCTTCTCTCCAGGTTTCAGAAAAAAGAAAAAATAATTCTTCATTTAACTCTTTACGCTCAAATGTTGGTAAAACAATAATTCCTAAAACGACTAATTTATTAGCTTCAATGTAAGGACTGTTAACATTAATAAATAATGCAACATCATTCAAACAATTTTTAGATTCTAATGAGATAAGATCTAATGAAGTAGCAATACGCATAATAACAACAAGATTGAGTTTAGAGTAAAATAATATTATTCTATCTTCAGCTTTACAACTTTCAATATCATCATTAATGCACTCTAAAAGGGAAGCATGATAGTGCAATTCGTAACCAGGTATAATAGCACAAACACCAATTTTATTTGCAGTTTTATTTTCAGAGAGCATTTCACGAAATTTTTCAATTACCAAGGAAATATAATTGTTACCAGATGAAGGACAAATACAAATGACATCTGAAAAGTCAGAAAAATTTATGTCCATATAATTATCTGCAATTAACTCTATTGGTTGATCAATTGATACTTTATCAAGAACAATATTGGCAGATTTTCTCCAATCCAAAGAACTTGGTTTTCTTATATTTTTTATGAATTCATTGTTGAAAATCGGTTCAGGTGTTGCAATCGTAATATCATAGTAAGCTGATTCATAGTTGCAATTACCTGAAAATAAAGCAAAAGTAAAACATATAAAATTAATTAAAACATATTTTTTAATTTAAATAAACTTACCACAATAATTTGATCTTAAATTGTATTATTGATTTTTTATAAATTTTTCAAATAAAGAATATTAGCATTAGTTTTTGAACAAAACATATTTAGACAGTTGTCAAGACAAAAATAAAGAATAATATAACTTTTTATAAAACAATAACCTAATAATGTAATCTTAATTAAAATATTTAATATAGTTGTCAAACTCAAGAAAAAAGGTACAGTTTATAAAAATTAAAATAAAACTTAATCTTATTTAAAAGTTCAAAATCAGATAAGAGCCTTTGATTTATATTTTAAGACAATTTGTTTCTTAGGACCTGATATAGATCCAAATAGTTTAATTGTAAATAGAAAAAATTTATAATAAAAAAATAAATTAATATTGATATTTTATTAAAAATGTTTAATATAGTTGCCAAGACCATGAGAAAGTAGAATTTATACTAACTAAAGTAAATTTTTAAAGTTTTTTTAAAGTTTCAAACTAAATAAAGAACTTTTTAGTTTTATTATTTTAAAACCACACAACTGCATAACTAGTTATAAATATACATTTCCAACAAGAAAATTTTTTCAGGGCCATATTACAAATTATAACAACAATATAACAACCGCAGTATAATGAATCAATTGAAAAAAAACATGCAATTTCTTCAGGGAATGGTGTTCACGTGATCAATGTGATCCAACTGTTAACAAGACTAAACAAGTGCAGATGCAACACTAAATCTTGAATAAAAATTAGATGTAGGAAAAATTATGCTAGTAATATAAAATCTGCAAAACTTTATTAAGTGGAGTTTATGTGATTTATGTGCAGCAATAATGTTTATAGCATTTTAAGCCATTCTAAATAACAACAAACAACACGCTTTATTGGTAATTGCAAAATTTTTTTAAACAATGTGTTTATACTTGCTGTATATAGATGGCTTATATAAACAGTATTGATTATAAGTTTAGAGCCACCTGTTTTGCTTATCATTTTGCGGCATAAATATGGTGAGGTTAACATTATAAGCATAACAATGCATATAGTAATTTGACAAGGTACGAATCTATTGATTTTCATGAATAATTGTGTATTAAACCAAATATAAATATTGACTTTCATGAGTTCTTTAACTTTATAGCCAATTTTTGAACATTTTAACATATTTTGGTAACTTTATGATGTATTCGTATCAATGTTTTGGTTAATTCAGTTGTTATTTATGCTACTTTTTGGAATGTGTACACTAGTTAGATAATGTATTTAATGTTATTTTCGTTTTTATTTTAGAGTTTAAATGAAAATATTTTCTGAAATGGGCAAAGCTAAAAGCCTTGATTCAACTGTTCGGGTCCAGGTGGTGGCTTTAAAGGATTTTAGTGGCCTAAGCCTTAATAATATAGCCGAAAAATTGAAAAAAAGTTGCCATGCTGTACAAAATGCATATAAGAAACATTTGGAATCAAATACATTCACGGAAAAACCCAGATGTGGCCGTTCTAGAATGTCAACTTTACTCAAGATAGAACCTTAAAACGCCTGGTCATAACAAATCTTCGCCTTTCTTCCAAAATTTTGTCTCGACAGTGGCATGAAGTTGGTGGACCTTTAATACCTCCAAAATCTGTTCGTCACATTATAAATATTATAAACTAAAAATAACAATTTGGCTTAACGAGGTCGAGATAACGTTAATCAGAAAAGTAATCAAAAAAATAATTTTTTTCAAAAGGGAAAGTATCAAGTGTTTTTTAATTGATTCTTTTTTTGTAAACTAAGGTAAAAAAAGCCCTATCAGTCTTCTTTTGACCCTACTAGTCTGAGTAAAGATACAGGGTTTTAACTTCATATCTCTTATGCATGGAATAAGGACTCTACCACTGCACTACTAACTCATTTAAACAAAAATGTATACATGTAAATGGCAGTAATGTCTGCAGGTGTGATAGTGTATTGCATCAGTTCCTATTGTTATGTTTTTGTTCGCTTACAATAAAAATGTAATCTGCAATATCTAGTAAAAAAGAAAACAAGGTTAAAGCCATTTAAGTTACAGTACTGGTCATAAGTTTAAAGCCACCTCATTTTTTTTAGTTATTTGCAGATTATAAAGCCATAACCCCAGTGCAGCAAAATATTAAATTACTGAAACATGCAAAATATATTGTTATAACAGGTGGCTCTAAACTTATAATCAATACTGTTTATATAAGCCATCTATATACAGCAAGTATAAACACATTGTTTAAAAAAATTTTGCAATTACCAAGTTTGAATGGTTGTGTTGCTATTAAAAAGCCTTTTATCTCCAAAATTAATCAGCAGAAGCGTCTCAAATTTGCGCACGAATTTTTGCATTTTAGTGTTACTGATTGGCAAACGATGTTGTGGTCTGATGAGTCCAAATTTAATTTAGCTGGCAATGATTCTCGGCGTATTTTCGTTTGGCGTCGTCAAAATGAATCATATAAACCGGAATGTTTGCAGGGAACTGTAAAACATGGTGGTGGTGGCATCATGGTGTGGGATTGTATGTCATCTTTTGGGCCGGGCCAGTTGCATCAGGTAGAAGGAATTATGAATGGTGCCATGTATAGAGATGTTTTGCGAAAGCATTTGCTACCTTCCGCAACAGCATTGTTTCCTGCAACTTTTCCATAGATCTTTCAGCAAGACAATGATCCTAAGTACACGTCCAAAGTGGCTAAAGATTTTCTAGCTGCTAATGGTGTTCAAGTCTTCCACTGGCCACCCCAGTCACCGGATTTGAACCCCGCAGAAATTTGTGAACCCCATAGAAATTTGTGGAATGAAATTGATCGCCGCTGTGCAGCCAAACGTGCAAGTAATAACATAAACTTTGGGACTTTATTTCTGCCGCTTGGACTAGTATTACTGCTGTTGATTGCAAAAAGCTTGTTGACACTATGCCAGCACGGTTGGCTGAAGTAATTAAAAATAAAGGTGAACCTACTCATTATTAATATTTTAATACTCATTTTGGTACTAAAATGTTATAACAATATATTTTGCATGTTTCAGTAATTTAATATTTTGCTGCACTGGGGTTATGGCTTTATAATCTGCAAATAACTAAAAAAAATGAGGTGGCTTTAAACTTATGACCAGTACTGTAACTTAAATGGCTTTAACCTTGTTTTCTTTTTTACTAGATATTGCAGATTACATTTTTATTGTAAGCGAACAAAAACATAACAATAGGAACTGATGCAATACACTATCACACCTGCAGACATTACTGCCATTTACATGTATACATTTTTGTTTAAATGAGTTAGTAGTGCAGTGGTAGAGTCCTTATTCCATGCATAAGAGATATGAAGTTAAAACCCTGTATCTTTACTCAGACTAGTAGGGTCAAAAGAAGACTGTTAGGGCTTTTTTTACCTTAGTTTACAAAAAAAGAATCAATTAAAAAATACTTGATACTTTCCCTTTTGAAAAAATTTATTTTTTTGATTACTTTTCTGATTACGTTATCTCGACCTCGTTAAGCCAAATTGTTATTTTTAGTTTATAATATTTATAATGTGCTTTTATTAATATATTGTGATAGATGCTTTTATAGGAGTATATAATAAATAACAACAAGTAAAAAATTAAAAGTCTACTTAATATATCAGCACATTTTCGTTAGAAACGAAAATATATAAAAAAAGGAAAATGCCCCTTATTGTTCATTAGTCAAGAGTAATCTGATTGATAAATTTATAAACTTTGTATTGCTTATAGTAACTACTTATGATTCACATATGTTATTATTACTTTTTATTATTATTCGTGAATATTTTTACAGGTTAGATTTATCAGTTAAAAATATAACTGCTTTCAACATATGTCCTAATAAAAATACAAGAGTAAAATATAATAACTTAAAAATAAAAATTTTATTATTTTAAGATAGCGACTATTAATAAAAGAATAATATAGAAAAAAAAAAGAAAACTAGCACATTAAAAGTTTTGAGAAGCTTTAAAGCTTTTTGGAAATCATTAGTCTTTTATAACTTTTAAATATTTTGATGGATTGTTAAAGAATTTTCCCACTTTGAATAAATTTGATTTGGACTCATTTTAATCTAATCTTTTTGATTATTATTTAAACAAAAGTTTAAGATTAGTATTACTTATTATATTATTATTTCATTTATTATATTATAATAATATAAGACAATAATTTATTATACTATATTTTTATTATTAGTTTCGTTGCAAACCACAATTGAAAAAACTTAAACTTTTAAGCGCATTGTACAGCAACTAATTTGGTATCAGACTATTTAAATAAAAACATTGAACAAAACGTGTGATACATCTATCTTTTTGAAAATGAATTTTCTTTCTTTTGGAATAGGCAGTAATTACAAATTTTTTTCTGCATAATTGTGGAAAGTTTAAAACCAAAAAAAAGTATTTTTTATATCTGAATGGTAAAACATAACTTAAGAAAAGAAACTTGTTGCAACATGAGGCTGTGTTTGCCAATACATATATAAGTCAACAAATTGAATCAATCAACTAAAAAAAATAATTGGTACATTATATTTTATATAAGGTCATTAAAAATTGCACTTATATTGAGTAAAGTTACCACAACATCTTTACAAAGGAAATTTACTGAGCAAACCATCTCAAAAGAACAAAATTAAAGTTTACTATCTCTTCGAAAAGATCAAATATTGTATACAAAACATTTTTTAAAAATAAAATATAAGATATCAATTTTGGTATAGTATCACTTTTTTCAAAAATACTTTTAATAAGTTGCTTTATTTGATTAGAGAAACATGAGCCTTACAATAAAACTAGTTTCAAATTAGTGTTGTGACCAAAACTAAAAATTGTAACTAAACTAAACTAAAAATACCGTAACTTAAATTAGTTGACTAACTTTTTAGTTAACTAAAACTAGTCGACTAACTTTTTAGTTA